AGGGGGAGGGCATTTTTTTTCTCTTTTTACCCTTTCTGCTATGACCCTAATAGAACGTTTTCTGTGTACTCTCGTCTCCAGCCACCTAATAGGCGTATCCGGTATAGGCGACGAAAAAATAATCCAACGTTTCAACCTGCAAATAGTAAAAAAATAAAGGGGAGGCAAACCGAGAAAGTGTGACGGTTACGCTTATATCCTAAATGCCTTCTATTGGCGTGGCAAAGGCAAAACAATGTTTTCGCCCATACTGGAAGGGACGTCAATTCAAGATGGCGGCGCACTTGCAGAAAAGGTCTACATAGAAAAAGAGTAAAGGCGCTGTGATCCTGCGTTTTCTTTTTTTTGTTTTGTCTGTGTGCGTGATTAGAGCCGGGAATAGGGAACCAACAAACGAAAAAAAGCATCGTGACGAAGTACTTCGGGCACTTCTTGATTGATTAAATCGTGATCGTTCAAGCAGCAGTTGCGGTTATATTTAAAGTAAAACGGAGTTAGATTGAAGAACGGGAGAAGCGCGCAGTTTAATGGCGGACGCCTCCTGCGCCGACTGGTTGATGATGATGATAGTTCGCTTGCGTTGCGTTGTCGAGTGGCGAGGAGGAAAGCGGGCGGAGACGCTCGCAGACGACCGTGCGCTTCCGTCACCATGTCGGATCTCGTATTGCAAACCGCGGCCCTCAGACCACGTGACCGTGATCAAGTGGTTGGAAACACTCTGCAGTCTGGGCTCTCTGTGCAGCGCAAGTTCGTCTGCTTCTTTTTGAAGGGGTTGTAATGACGTCAGAACGCCGAGCTCTGATTGGCTCTGATTGAAGGATTGTGGGTGTAGACATTTTTCACTGGGGCGCCGCCATCTTGAATTGTCGTCACTTCCAGTATGCGCGACGACAAAATAGTAAAACGTTTCAACTTGTAACCAGTAAAAAAATAGAGGGGAGCTAAAACGAGAATGTGTGACGGTTAGGCTTATATCCAAAATGTCTTCTATTGGCGTGGCGACGGCAAAGTAATGTTTTCGCCCATAATGGAAGTGACGACAATTCAAGATGGCGGCGCCCTTGTGGAAAAGGTCTATATAGACCTGAAGGCAGCTTGATTTGGGGTCCACCCACTATCCTTTCAGTCAGAGCCAATCAGCGCTCGGCGTTATGACGTCATTACAACCCCTTCAAAAAGGAGCAGACGAAATTGCGCTACGCCTAGCCTTGAACTGCCTCCGGTCTTGAAAGGTGACTCAAGTTATCACCGTTCAGTTTCGGTCCACGTGGCTTATAAACTGTACATAAAGAAAATAAAGGATGTCAAGTGTGGCACTAATCGTCTAGAGAGCCGTTTTTACATACGTAGGATTTATATAGGGTGAGCACTTAGCATTTAACAAAATGCACTCTCTCTGTCTTCAAATACAACCAGAGTTGTCAGCGAAGAGTATCTAGTAATTTAATCGATTACTTTCAAGCTAATTCGATTCCATACGCTGTGGGTTCTCTTGCTACTCCAATCTGGTACGCAGTTCGCAAGATTCGGACCGAATGTTGTTTTATTATTCCTTTAGCTTACTTTGATTCATCTTGTTTATAGAAAATTGTATGAATAAAATGTCTGGTGTGCGAGTGGTCGCTGTGTGCGTAAACTATATTGTGTGTTTTCAGAGGGGGCTTCAAATTTCCCATGGAGTGCCGACGAATTTGACTTTCGATGTAAGTACATGGCGAATTAAAATGAATATGAGTTATGTTTTTGGCACTAAAGAGAAAAAACAAAACAAAGTTCTCGGTTGTTCATTCGGATAAAGTCGCAAGAGTAACTCGTAAAAACTAACAAGTTTAAACTTACGTTCCTTGAGGTGAAATGCGACTAAGTTAGTTCCATTTTTAAAAATGTACCATGATTATATTTAGAGTTAATCACAAAAGTAACAAAGTTGCGCTCCAATTTCATTCGTTAAATATACCTCCTCTGGCGTTGGGGAGTGCTGACAGTGAGCTGACAAACCAGCACACTTTCAAAGATTTGTTTTTCTTTGTGCAGATAATATGTTTGTACAGTGATTTCATTTTGTCGACACGGTGCTCACGGCAATGCTTGAGGTATTTGTAACAAGCAGCTAACGTACGCGTTACGACCAAATTGACATAAATATATTGTGTCTTTCACAAAATGTTTAAACAAATAAAGTGTCGTAATCTAATTAGGTTGCAAGTCAGTCGAAAGGTGCAACTATCGTAAGATCAGTCTTGTGCACGTTACTGGAAAAAAAGTAATCGATTACAATTGCAATTACTGTTGGTTAATGAGCATTCAATTATATTAGTTGATAGAAGAAAAGTAATTGGCCGTTACTTGAAAAAGCAACCGTTAGCTTTTCCGATTACTTCAAATTTTCAAAACGACAGTTTTTTTGTTTTTTTTTCTGTCTGAAACCGGGTTTTTTAGCACTGCCCTTTATTGGATTATAATCACCGAACTATAAACTATTTATCCACTAATACACCGATTTCAGTGAACCATTCAACACTCCGAGACTTTGTTCAAGGATTCCTTTCTGGTAGGACATATGTTCAAACAAAGGGCCCCAATAAAATCGAAGGAAAAAATAATAACGGTCACAAGTAATTTTGGTACTTCCAAAAGTAATCAAAAATATTTCCGAGATTACTTTCTAACAAAGATAATAAAACGATAAACAAATTACCCCAAAAAGTATAATCGATTACGAGTAATTTGATTACTTGTAATGAGTAGCGCTCAAGCTTGCGCGGTGAGATGCAGTTTAAATCAATAGCATTTCATCGCTGATAGAAAGTGATTTTGTTAACGCAATATTTAACGATAATTGCAGTAACTCGGATACTATTGATTATAGTCACTGGCAACATTAGGAAGCGCAGGGCGTCGCGAGTCCCAAGCGGTTTGCATTATATCTCCCTTCTGTCCCACGCCTACACAAGACGATAACGTCGAACAACAAATCAAACATTCCGTAGCGTGAAACACAGGGACGGCTGAGGTGTGACGTAGGAACCACTGACGAGTCGCTTCTAAGCAGATGGACCGAATGAACGGTAAACGTGCGAGAGCGCTCCATATTGCCGCGCGCAGGGCCGAATGAGCAGCGCCCCGTCACGGTACTCTAGAACATTCGCGATTCGCGTTTATTCTTACTCGGGGGGTAACTTTTATGATTTCGCCATAGTTTCTTGCTCTCTAAAGTGCCTGTTCATTCTCACCCCAAACCCTCGATGCTCGAACCTTCTGGGACAAATTTTCTCGATGCCGACGCACATTAGGTAAGGAGATACCCGCGACCCTGTCGAGTCAGTCTCGCTCTCGCTTGCAGTTACGCCGCCAAATCGCCGCGCGCTTTTCTGCTGTCTCGACGCTCGTCTTTTATTTTGTTCGGCACACGTTCGCCGATTAAACCTTTATTTTTAATTCACTATTAAGCCTCTCGTCGCCTTCCTTCGTGAAAATATATATAGTCCGCATATGTGTTTTTTTATTAAAGCAAGTATAGCACACCGCGGACGAAAATTCCATAGCGTTTTGGAACCAATGAGGGTGTATTAGTATAGACAGAATTCCCTGAACCTGCTAAGCAAATTTATGGGACAGAAATTGAGGTGTCGTGATGTACTTGAAAAACACTTCAAAAATCGCGCGCCCAAGTTTGAAATCCAAGAAACGACGAAACTGCACGTGTATATGCGTGAACCGTTCACAGTGGTTGGAGTGGCTGCCTGGATGTCTCATGCGATGTTAGTGGACGCAAACTAACACCGCCTTGTGGTCACTGAAGAACACTTCCGCGCGCACTCAAGTTTGCAGCAAAGTGGAAAATTTGGCAAGTTGGTTTGTTAGTCAATCATATAGAAGTACCAAAAACGACTGGGACAAAGAAGGGTGGAAACACAAGGCGCACTCTCAACTGAAGCTTATTTAAGAGAAACACACAATATAAGCCGTTGTAGAATAGTTATTCGTCTCAACAACCTATGAAACCCCTTGATAAATCCAAACTCTTTTGCTGAGTAGGCAAGTGGGGGGGGGGGGGGGGGGTGGGGGGGGGGGGGGGCTCGCTGCGCTAGAAACGTATCGTTATGCAGAACTGGTGAGCATGGGCAACGACTACAATAGATGGCGAGATTAGCTGGAGGGCTTGCTGTCATGGCTGCCACATTTTCGCGCGCACGGTCACTGACCAACGTACACGGAACCGCAATTCAGCGGTATCTTGCACACCACTCCCATGGCACACTCATCATATTTGGTCCGATGTCTTATGCTGCACTGCTCTTTAATTTGCTGGGGACTATAGATTCTGCGGCACAAACACACCATTTTATTCGGGGATGAGGATACCACAGAAACTTTGAAACGCAGTGCAACTTTCTTTAAATTATTTCCGGTCTCACTTTAGACTTTTCTCTTGCCTGTTAGTTTGCTCCTTTGAATTTCTATAACAATCCTTCCGCAACCTCAGTCAGGCACCTTTGTGGGGAAACATGCCTTTTGTAGGCGAGGAAATTAATAAATTAAAACTGCCTCGCACAGAGTGTTCCCAAGATCTTTTTAATGACACGTGTTGGCAAGGCCCCTTTTGGCTATTTTTGAGTGAGCAGACTCGAACGGCAGGATACCTTTCTTTGATCTTGGCTCGTACGCCCAACATTTGTGGCCCCCCAGAAAGCATAGTTTTAGGCCTAGCAACTGCGGTGCCCTTTCTACACGCTTCTCATGAGCAAGCCGTTCGAGTCACTCGAAACACCGTCTGTGCCGCAGAATCAATAGTCCCCAGCCAATTAAACAGCAGTGCAGCATGAAACATCGGACTAAATTATGCTGAGTGCGCCATGGGAGTGGTGTGTAGCTCGCGAAACCCGAGAAGAGTCCCACTAACAGCGATCGACGCAATATCGTTGCAAAACAGACGCTCTGGATGTACGACGTTTTGGAGTGAAGTTGTCGCTGCTCGCTTGGCCTTTCTCTCGTCGCAGCCTACGATCGCACCACGACGTACGACAGCAAGTCGATGTTCACCGCCATGTCCACCGGGTCCTTCGAGGGTCAGGACCCGTTCAACCGCACGCAGCAAGGAAGTAAGTCACTCGAAACACCTCCTGACTTCAAACATTCCGTCCAATGCAATAAAAGCGCGATAAACACTTGATTGTTTTTTATTTGTTTTTTAATGCACACGACTTTGAAAAGCTTTAGTGGCTAGTGGATTATTAATACGCAGTTCCTAGCCTACAGCGCAGACCCACTACCTCAGCGGCGGAGTGGAGAGGAAAGAATAAAATGTTAGCCTTGCGGAATTTTTCGTTTTAGGAAATTTACATTTACGGTACGTGATATCATAAAGGCACCATCTAAAACACTTTTGTGAAACGTTTCATTGCACTCCGTTCGTTGGCTTATTTATACGTTTCTGTTTTGTTTTGTTTTACAACTGGATAGCGCTCGAGGAAACCCTACAATTAGAAAAAAGCGGCATAGTCTCTAGAAGACTAAAGACAAGTACCTTATATATTTTATATATATATATATGAAATGAACCTTAAGCATCCACTCCCCCCGACGTTAGTAAACGCCCGCTGGGGAACTACCGAAATTATGAAACCCCGATAATTTAAAATAAACGCCCCCCCCCTTCCTCCCCTTTCGCATGTGCAGACTTCGTGGTGCCACCGAGCATGGCGACGCGCATTCCAAAGCCTGACGGCGCCCTGCCCGTGATCCCAAAGTCGAGCATCGTGGTCATGGGAGGGCTCAACCTGGACACTGGAATCAGTGAGTTGTCCGATGAGGGGTATTGCTCCCGGTCAAGCGCCACCACGCGGACCTTCAGCAAACACTTGTTGCAGACACGATAGAGACATTCGTTCGAACAAAAGACGAAGGCACTCAAAGATTCTCGGAAGAACTTGAACTGGAAGCTTCAGGAAACCTCGGAGTAAAAGCCGAGGTTTGGTAATGACGAAACGACTGGTATACCGAAATGTTTTGTTACAACGAAATGTTTCGTTACAACAAAATGTTTTGTTATACGAAATGTTTTGTTACAACGAAATGTTTCGTTAGAATGAAATGTTTTGTTATACGAAATGTTCTGTTATACGGAATGTCTTGTTCGAACGAAATGTTTTGTTAGAGCCTTATGTTGTCGGCGGACGACTTAAAATGACGCTGGTGGAAATAGTCAATTAAATGCTTGCTGAAAACGAAAGCCAGCTGCTCTTCGGTCACGCGTTCGTCGACATTTTTTCGTAGATCGTAGTGTTGACTATAAGCCAACACTGTAACTCCCACGACTACGTCATCGCGTTTTGTAATGGAGAGACTCAAAGAAACAGTCTGCTCTCATCCTTGAAATCACACCACCACAGAGAATTGCTTCTTGGTCAGCGGCGTATGCATCACACTGCTCCCAATACGCTTGTGAAGACTCATATACAGTTACACGGCCTCTTTAGAGTAAGTCGATGACTGGCATTCTTAAACACAGACAGCGGTCTGTCTGTGTTTATCTAGAGTCGTCCATCTTCGCGCCATTTTTAATTTTCACAACTGCATGCGGTTAGGAATATCTGGGTCGGCGAATGACAGTTTGCAAGTTTCGTGAGCACCAAACGATATGCAATTGTCGCTGAGCAGTTTTCGTCTTGACGGCCGTCCTCTCCCAGCCGGCTCCGTGGTGGCCTTCGATCCGTCCTTCAACACGGTGCAGCAGTGCGGGACGCTACCGACGCCGCTGCACCACCACCGCGCGGTCCTGAGCGGCTCGGACATCTTCGTCGTCGGTGCGTATCTTCCGCCAATCCGGGTACGCGGCTTAGCATAATCCGGCTTCTTACTTTCGGATTGGTCTTTCAGTCACCTTATTAACGAACGAAGCAGTCCCATCGGCAGCGGATCGATAATCAGATGCCCGGGACCCGTCACGCCCGTGTTTCTTAAGTTGTCGACGACTATCCTGAGAGCAAGTCGCCTGCTTCTCACGCAGGGGTTTGCGGTGACGTCCAAACGACACCGAGTCCTGGTTGGCATTGATTGGAAAGATAGTAGGTATAGACCTCAATGCTAGATGCCTCGAGGTCTAGCCACTATTTATTTCAGTCGGCCAATAAGTGTTCGGCGTTGCGACATCATCGCAACCCATGTGCAAGAAGCAGACGAACTTGCGGTCCGCATTGGGTCAACTTCCACGTGACCGCTCTCATTCCCAGAGTTCTCCTTTATTCCCGCTTTTCCCTAGCCGCGGAACTTCCCTAGTACTGCGTTCTACAGATGTTTGCTTCAGCAGCTTGACCTCTGCAGCTAGCAGTGACAACCGGTATGGTCGCCACTTACAAACAAGTCCGCGTATAACCACATGCGCTAGGTGTGGACATTGCGCGGGCAGAAACAAGATACTTGTGAAGAGCTTTCGCATAGGTCGTGCCGACAGCGGCGCCACCGCAGCTGCATGACGTCAATAGAGGGGCCGGACGTAAAAACATTCGGGAAAAGCGGCGCCTGTGTACATTTAGAGAACTCGACTTTTCATCGAAGGTATATTTTATTATCTCGGAGAATTTGAAGGTGTAGCTGCGTTTCTGCGAAAGATTACACCAAAATTTTTGACATTTGCGACGAACTTAGTCATCTGCTCGCTGTCCCATATCGGAAGATGGCGCCGCAAATTATAACCACAGCTGACTCCGGTCGTCGTCGAATACGTCCGCAGTTGACCCTACCTAGTTTGTTGGTACACTTTTCCGCAGCAAGAGAGTCACGTTTTTAAATTTCCTAAGCTAAAATGGACCTCCTAAATGCACATTGGGTGGAAGTTTCAACTTTCCATGGGCAGGCGCCGATTTTTCCGGTTCGTTTTAGAGCACTAGGATCCATTCCAACCACCCAATACACATTGTGTCTGCGCATGCGCGGTGCCGACGGCAGCGCCACCGCAATGACGTGACGTCATAGAGCTCAGTTTTTGTATAGATAAATTAATTGGACCGCGCCCGTTCGCAGGCGGCATGCTGGAATCGACCGAAGGCCTGTATGTGTGCAGCAAGCGGTGCTACAAGCTCAGTGTGCCCACGCTGCAGTGGACTCGCGTGGCGGACCTGAAGACAGAGCGAGCCCACCACGGGCTCGTACTGCTCCCGGGACGGATCCTGGTCTTCGGCGGACTCACCTTGGGCCGGAAGTGCGTGCCAGTTAACCGTTGTGTCCCGCCTGAAGGGACATCCATGGGAATTCCGAGTTTTTTTAGACTATATCCTGCCGGAGAGCGATGCGCCCAAAGGCTGGTTCATGGACTTGCGTTTGACAACGGCCGACTGTGCGCCACGGAAGGCTTTTAGGCCTCTCGAGATTGTTTACGAAAGTCACTTGATCCTGGGAATGCAGCACCATATGCCTCATAGCAGACTGCCTGATAGCCGGGCACAAACAGTTACTAACATACTGACGGCCGAACCCTCTCAAGGCGATTGGCTAATCGCTTTCTGTTGCCATGGTAATCGCTATTTTGGTCCTTTTTAATCTTTCAAGCTTGGAATTGGTCATTCTGAACCAGCCACGGCACGATCTTTGTGGAGCGGCAGTGTACTGAAAGCGTTCCTCGCCAATGTGACTGTCGATGGCTAGCTCCAGCAGTGCTTTCTTTTACGCAGTCTTAGCTGAGACTGATTATAGCTGAGGTCCCTGGGTCCTGGAAAAGTAGAGCCATTGCCTTCTCTCCCTGCTAGCTGGACACAAGCAGATACTAACATGCAGACGATCAAACCTAGCAAAGTGATTCGCTGATCGGTCTGGATTGCCATGGCAATAGTCATTCCGGTTCCTCAAATCTTTGAAGATTTGAAAGGGTCGTTCTAAAACAGTGGCACTAGGGTCTTTATGGAGCTTCATCGTACTGAAAGCGTTTTTCGCCAATTATAGCGTCTTTAGCACTGTGTATGCAATCAACTTGTCAGTCATGCTTATTTCCATGGATCTCTCGCAATTATGTTGTTTTTCTTGCGTATTTTAAGGTGGAAATAATATTTTCTTAATGCAGTCATGCACCGATGCAGCATGTGATGGTGCACCATGTGCGCTTGTTTCGCCGGTGTGTGATTAACAAATCCTCGGTATACAAGAAAGGCCTTTATGAACCAACTTGTCATCGTGATTTTGGATCGGCTCACCAAGAATGAAAAAGAAAAATAGAAACCTGCCCATTCCATGTACCACAATGGCGACCATACGGGGAGTTTGGCGCTACCTTTCTAGGATTCAGGGTCCTTACTTACGACAGGCTGCGCTGCTGGTCCCCCTTTGTGACCGATTTTTTTTTTTTCTTTGCAAAAAGTAGGAATTACAATTGGTCGGTGGGGTCACGTCATATGCAAGTCATGTACACGCCGACTCAATGTTGACTAAAGGGCTGCTTATACTCCGACGTTGAGCGCAGTGAACGCAGCGTAGCGCAGAACGCGCGCCTTTCATTGGCCGGCAACCACGAATTCGATATCTGCGACCAATCAGTATCTGTGCGCGCTGCGCGACGCCGCGCCCGTCGACGTTACGTTGGAATATAAACGTACCTTAACACGCATGTAGTCATCCGAAAAACTTGGAAACTTCACATATACACAATTATGTCATATTTCTCCATAAAAGGGCGAGCAAAGCCTAACTCACAAGCGCGAACATGCTCTCCTGAGCACTGCAGGAGGCCGCGTTCTCATGCAGTGCCCAGGGAGAACTTGCGCGGATCGCTTTTGTTGCCCGTGACCCAAATCCTTTTTTCCATAAAGTGTGTGTCGCAATAAATAACGTCAAAGCGACCGCTTTTATACCGAAACTTACAGACTCGTACCGCATTACGTCGTGTGGAACGCCAAGAAGGATACATTACTTAGTTTAGCAATAGACCCTTTTTCAAGATGGCGCCGTCTAGAAGCTGTGGCGCCAATTATTCGAGTTTGCCATTGTTTGGGCACGGACACTCGGAGCGTGCATCGAACCCGAGGGTTGAGTCAGAGTTCGGAGTAAACTCGGCTCAGCTCGTATCGGAGACGAGGGCCACGTCAGCGTCTGGCGAGGACTTGGAACCAGTCACAATCTTCTTGCCCGAGAAATGGCGACCGCCAATGTTGCTTGACGAACTTTTGAAAATGCGTACCACTTGTCCAGGCTCCTTTCCAGCATGGAGTACTACGACATAAAGAGGAACAAGTGGACCAAGATGAAGAGCAGCCTGCCCCAGGCCACGATGGCCATGGGCGCAGCGCTGTTCCGCTCTCTGGTTTGGATTGCCGGCGGCGTGGTGGACAGCGGGTCCAACAATTTGGACTGCTCGTCCGCCGTTCAATGCTACAACCCGGAGACCAAAGCGTGAGTTGAGCTGGAACCGAATGCGCGAAGACGTCTTCATAGCACAGCGCGGAGAACAATAAAAATATATAATCTAACCTGAAAAAAAAAAAAAAACTTTTTTTGCTATTATTTTTTTGCGGATATACGCGATATAATAATCACTAACTGCGCATGAGAAGCGCGTGTATACGGAATCTCAAGCTGTTTTCGGGCATCGGGCAATTTGTTGGACAGTGTCCAATTGGTCGCTGTAATTGGGACGCTGTGCAAGTAGTAGACTGGCAGGACATTTTTACAACATTAAATGCGTTTTTAAACGGAACTCTTTGATCCCAGAAATGTGTCCGTGCACCCGTCTGTGGATTTCTCCGCCTAATTTAGGGGGGAAATGGACGTCACGTGATGTCGCGGCACCGCGACTTGACGCCGTGATGTCATGTGATACGTCGCGTGACGTCAAATCGCATTGCACCACGACTTGACACCATAATGTCAGGTCACGTGACTACGTCCCGTGACACCACGATTTGACACCGTGATGTCACGTGACTACTTCGCGTCACGTCAGATCACGTGACACCACGACTTAAAACTGCTCAATTTTTGCGGAAAAATCGATGCCATGTGACCACATGAAGTGACGTCGTGGTATCACGTGACAACACGACTTCGCGCCATGAGATCAATTTCGCCACTTAATATAGTAAGGGAAATTCCGAAACAATAGAGAGTTTTAGTAGATCGTTCCGATACCCCCGATAGCCCCGATAACGATACTATGCATGCGCAAGGGAGGCGGTGGCGGAGTATCGGGTACCGTTATCGGAGTCATGGGAACGATCTACTAAAACTCTCTAATAAGTTCTTCACTCCCCATAACGACTGTTGAATGTCTTCCTTTTGACACAATGATAGACACTGGAGTCTGTCATTGTGTAAACGATCGGTGCACAGTCATATGGCGAAAGAAATCCGCAAGCTGGTATACGCGAGACATTCACAGTCAGTGGTGGATTTAGAGGGAGGGGGGGCGGGGAAAGAGAATGTCTTAACCCCCCCCCCCCCCCCGCCGCCCCCCTCCAATTCCGCACGTGTAAAAAATGTAGGGCGGTTTTCTCAAATGATACGCTGACCCGCCCCCCCCCCCTTTTTTTTTTTTTTTTTTAAACACCTGCATCCGCTACTGACAGCCCCAAAACATTGTTTTCATTTTTTGCCAGGCGATTTAATATGTCTCGAAACTACCCAATCAATATTTTGCTTAAGAGTCACGTTTGTTTGTTTGTTTTGTTTTTTAACAAAGAAAAAAAGAAACTCAACTGCTCCGAAATTGAAATCGAAACATGAGCACGGAGATTCATGGCCGGCTAGCGTACCGAGGAGGACCGGGAAATGCGGAGGAGGAGAGAGTTGCCGGAAGTCACGTGGCTATCGCTCCCTGCCCATATTTTCTCCACGTGCACCTCCGCTTCCTCAGCGTGTGAATCAGACGTCGACGACGGCGGCGTTGCGTGCAATGTTTGTCGTGCGAATATATGTTCATCTCGCTGTTTTGCGCTTGAAGATCCATTGGCCGCGAACGTCAGTTCTGAAGTGGCGGTCCCACGTCCGTCCCAACGTTGGTCCGTGGTGCGCCACCATCGCGTGGTCCAGCCCGCGCTACGTACTCAGAATAACGTAGCAGATCCTGTGATCTGTGCAACGTCAGTCGGTGACAGGCCAAGAGTCCAGGGGAAACTTTCTCCCGCCGTTTTCCATGTGAGCAGAGCGAACGTTGGAGAGGAGGCAACGTTCGCTAAGGTGGAAAGATGTGGGAGGTCCCTGAACTCTTAGGCCCGCTTCAGACGAGGCAACTTTCCCAGCAATTTTGGTGTTTCTGAAGAGTTGTTCCCTTCCTAACGCGACACGAATTGCTCGGATCACGTCCGGCTCGAAACGGACGAACAACTCTGACAACTGGGAGACGTTTGAAGCGGCAGCAGCCAATGAGAGACTGGGCATTTTCACGTGACAGCCCGTGCCGGGGATGGTGACAACCTAAGACTTGGTTCTTTCGCAATGCACTTTTTTTCAAAGGCGCCGTCACCTGGGTGCGCGACTGGGTTCGAGATCTAGTAGCTCGTAAAGACTCTACCACCCGTTCTACGCACAAAACGTCAGGTTACATCCTGTCGACCTTTTGGGACGCTATTGCCTAGATGCGGCTCCCCCGAATTTGGCTTCTGTCCCAAAGTTGATACAAAGCCATCTTCCCTCTAAGCTCGGTCAGAAGGAAGATAGAGAGAGGGGTACCAAAAACATTTACTCTCAAATTAACATTTCTAAAAAAAGGTCATTTTTGCCACCCGGACAGCTGGACGTTCATGGCGCCCACGCTGCCGACGTCCTGCGGCTACCTGAGCCTGGTGAGCGACGGCTCGTCGCTGCTGGCCGTCGGGGGCTCCGTGTCCCTGGACCAGCTACAGCTCGGCAGCGTCCCGGACGTGCACGCACTGTCGGCGGACCAGCGGACCTGGGAGCCCATGCCCTTCCTGCCTCGACCATGCCACAGCTCCGCGGCCGTTGCTTTCGGTCAGAGTCCTCTACTCCCTGCTCGGGACATTACAATAAAATTCTTAAAAGGTTCCCCAAAAGTTCTTTTCAAAATCCCCACCTTCCCCCCCCCCCCCCCCCCCCGCCCCCCCACAAGATTCCCTCACGAGCTAAAGGATTCCTCGAAATTTCCCTATAGAAATTCCTCAAAAGTTTCCTGTAGATTCGAGAAGTCCCACAGTTGACTCCGGGATTCTTCAAAATACTACTATGGATTCCCTCGGGAGCCTCAAAATTCATCGAGAGTTCCGTAAACTCCGCTATTGACTTGGAAGATTCTCCCGCGGATTCCATAAAATTCCCCCGAAATTTTTTAGTAATTTCGCACTGCGCCTGCGCAGTGCAGAGCCCCTGCTGCTCGGGTGACCCAAGCCGTCGGGATGCCCAATTCTAAAACTCTCTAGTATTCACGTAATCACTGGCGCGTCTTCCACTGGTCGCAGGGGCGAACCTGTACGTGTTCGGGGGCATCAGCAACGGCAACGTGCTGGCCGACGTGCAAGTGCTCCAGAAGGGCCGCTGGACGACCTGTGCACACCTGCAGGCCACCTTGCTCGGGCTAAGCGCGGTGGCGCTGCCTCCTGCACACGCGACGCCGCCTGAACTCGACCCGCTGGACAAAGGTCGCAGGGACGACGACCTCATCGTCTGGAGCTGGCACAACCTCTGAGCGCGCCGTCGCACTCGGAGATTTAAGATAGAGTACTAATAAAATGTTAAATAGTTTTGTGCCCTTATAACCCTTCTGTGTTGGTCCAAAAATGTTTTCCGACTGAACTTTAGGAAGGTTTCATGGGCTGGCTTGCTAGAACAAATGTCTAAGCCTAAACTACGGGAGAGCCAAGCCTGGGGAGCGCGAGCACTTGAGAGTAGTCAACTTCGTGCACCGCACCAAAGTTTGGGCAGCGATGGTTTAATAAAAAGGAAACGTGCAGCACTCAGACAAAGTTATCAACGCGCAAGTAACGCTAGAGTCCGATGCCGAAGAAGACCCGTGCCACAGGGTAACATTTAATGTCGGTTCCATTTACCGATTTCTATTGTAAGCTGGATCGCAGGTCGGGAGTCCGACGGTGCACCACCGGCGGTCATTTCTTGACAGCAGGCAATACATACAAATCAGTTGAAGGAATGAATAACTTTTTGTAGCTTGCGTGACGTGTCTCGTAAAGAGAGGTTTCGAAGACAGCATTTGCAGTCGTCAGGGTTAATAAATTAAACAAACAGCGTTCCATTCTCTTCGTCGTTTACCCTGAGACGGGTTTTTTAGAAGAGCAGAAGTAACAGAAAAAACAGACAGGTCTCAAACTTTGAGACCTGTCTGTTTTTTCTGTTACATCTGCTCTTCTAAAAAAAAAACCAGTCTCAGGGTAAACGACGAAATGGTTGACTTCCACCAGCTAGCCTGTACTTTGACTCTTTTCCAATCTCTGTCGTCTGCTGCTATCGAAGGATGTAGTTACAGGTTCCAATGGCTTCCAGCGATCTTTGCTCAAAATTAACGACCTGGGCCCGTTTTCTCGAACGCGAACCGTGGGTTAAAGTGAACTATTGTCCCCAGAAGAGGGAATTCTAGGTCACGTGACTGGAAGAGCAGGGGCGCCGAGGGAGGAGCAGTACCTACAAGCAAAATGGCCGCGATGTCGCTTAAAGGGACAATGAAGGCAATTTCGGGGATCTTTTTGGCGATTGAACTGGGTTCCAGGCACGTCTCAGACCACGTTGCCCAAATTTCAGCCGAAACCGGCGCTTGTGTGCCGTGCAAATCAATTAAACAGTCGCGGTAACAATCGTACCGGGATCGACTGGGGCGACGCCCCAAGAGTTGCGGGAGAAGCCAGGAGAAGCGGAGCTCACATGACCGATGCGGGGCCAAGGAGCGCGACGTCACAAGAGACGCGTCAGCGACTGGTCGAAACGAGAAACGTGCCTTCGGTCACGTTTTGGTTCGCGATTTTTAGAAATACTGTTCTACTTTCCGCTTGAATAACCATCAAAAGTATAAATCGGATCGGAAATGATTACTAAACCGTAAATAAAGCAGCATCATTGTTTTTTTTCTTTGCTACGCTGGACGCGAAACCGGCAACGAGCAACTATGGGCAAACAATTAAATTAAAAAAGAACACGGTACTCGAAAGAGCAAAATGGTAGCTGTAGATGGCTGTTCTAATGGTCGACTGAAGACCAGAGGCCGGATTCACGAAACGTTCTTACGACAAAAAAGTTCGTAAATATAACTTACGCAAAAGTTACGAACTTTTTGGTATTCTCGAAGCAAAATGTTCTCAGTTTTTGCGTAAGTTACGACAAAATCCTACGACAGGGGTCCATTTCTTCTTACGAACATTTTCGCGACTGCTTGCTCAAAATGGCTGCCTACGTCGCCTTCTTACTCGACCAGCAGCGCGATGCGAGAAGGACTTTGCATCAGCAGCGTGTCTTCCGGACTCGTCGAACATTAGAGACGATCGCGGACCACCACCTCGAGCGTTACTACCGCTTGCCGAGGCCAGCCGTGCAGAGGCTCTGCGATGCTCTGGCGCCGGCGCTTCGACGCCCGACAGCTCGTTCGTGCTCGCTCCCCGTCGACGTTCAAGTGCTGCTTGCGCTCCGCTTTTATGCGAGCGGGAGCTTTCAGTCGGTGGTGGGCGACGTTGCAAACATCAGCCAGTCGAGCTCCTCACGGATAATCAACGGAGTGAGCAGTGCGCTCTGCGATCTCGCCAACAGTGGCATCAAGTTTTCCACGACGTCGCGGGCAGCGTTGCTCACTGCACGCGGTAAGTGTTTTCCCCAATGTGGGGACCGTCGGTTCAATGCAATTAACAAAGCCAGAGCCACGTTAGCGCGCTTACTCGGACTGATCCTTATATTTGGATCTGCGGGCTAAAATTCCGCCATCGGCGTCCGCTTTCCGTGCGCGACGCAAAGTTTTGCTCTGAGGAACCGATCTCTCGCACAACATGAGTGTGTAGGCTGTTCTCTGCCGCAGATGCAGGCTGAAAGATGGAGGATTTGCACCACGCAAAGTGGCAATTAAAATCACTGCCCCCCCCCCCCCGTTTCCTGTTTAGTTAATTATGTTGAACGATCGTGATCGTACCTCATTTGAGGCATGTCTCATCTAGAAGTGTTATCTCAGGTAGGAAAAGTGTCTGCATTACCTGTTCTAGCTCTATAAAAATACACCATAACATAATCTTTGTTGTTTAACCTCTAGGCTTCTTGGAGATCAACGGGTTCCCCAAGGTGTTGGGGTGCATTGATGGGACACACATCGCCCTGAAAATCGCGAAAAAGGAGCAGCACCTCTACCGCAACCGGAAGGGCTACGACTCGCTGAATGTGCAAGCCATCTGCAACGCCAGCAATGAAATCACACAGCTCACAGTGAAGTGGCCAGGAAGCACGCACGACAGCTTCATGTGGAGAAACTGTGACCTGGCTGACAAGTTCGAGGCGGGCAACATGCCCGACGGGTGGTTGCTTGGTATGCTTTGGTCCCAATTTATAGAGTTATTTGATATTTAGCAGCCTGAATGACAATGCCTTATCACACTTAGAATCAGAAATGTATGTAATGCATTACTAGTAATAAGTTACTTCTACCGAGTTACTTTCTAAGAAAAGGAATGAGTAATGCACTTAGTTACTTTTAACGCCAAGTAACGAGTAATGCACTTAGTTACTTTTAAGGCCAAGTAACGAGTAAATGTATTTCGTTACCTTTGAGGAGCCAAGTGTACAACACTGTTTAAACAGCCTTGTTTTGATTTTAACCTGAGTATGCATCTATTGCGAGAAAGGCAAATGAGCAACCCCAAAAAATGACTAAACGCTATGACAGTATAGCAACGTTTATCGCTGCACACGTCAGTCAAACTCTACAGCTGGGAATGTCCTTCACCGAGCGAACACAATGAGGTTAGTTGGTTGAACCTTCCAGAATCATGTACATAGCATCTTTTGGGGTAGACCAATCTCACCAACTACTCTGTGCACATGTGTCGCCACCATGACCGCAGTTCACAAAGAGCAGGCAGCAGTGCGCAGGACGGTCATACTGTTTCACGTTCTGCACGCGCAGGCTGGCAAATCGGTTTTCACGCCTGCGAAAGGACTGCAGCTCACAGAATAAATCGCAGCACAATGAGCACATCACAACCAAACTGGCTGGTAAAATGAGTCTATTGGATCTCGTCGAAAGTGATCATGATGCAGTTCACGAGCTGTTTTCGTGCGCACCTCATTATAATAAGTTATGAAAGCACACCAGCATAATGCAACTGAGAGATGGTGGAAATCAAACCTGCGAACCTTTACGAGTGCGAACATTGGTTGAGTGCTTTGTTTAGTGTTGCTCACACATAGCTCGTTCGCAGCTGACATAGCCGTCAGAAAGAAACAAATTAGGTGGGAGTTGCACCAATGCAGCTACGAGAGGCAAAGTATGAGATAGTTAAATTTAGGTGGAACATTGTGTTGATTGCATTACACACTGGCATAAAATCTCACACCGTTTGCAATATTTTAGGGGACGCAGGTTACCCCCTCCAGCCGTGGCTCATGACTCCCTTCCGTAAGCCGCGGAAGAAGGAGGAAGAGAACTACAACGAGTGCCTCACGAAGACCAGACAGGTCATCGAGAGGACTTTCGGAATCCTCAAGTCACGCTTCAGATGCCTGGACAGGTCCGGAGGGGTCCTCCAGTACACCCCTAGTGTGTGCTGCCGCATAATTGTGGCCTGTGCAGTCCTGCACAATTACTGCATCCGCCACCATGTTTCCCTCGCTGAACCACCCGGTAAGGCTTTGTGCATTGGAGCACTAGGAATGCCACATTAACGAGTTTAGCGACAGCATTGTTCGGTGTGACCCCGGGCTCTTCATTCTGCTCGTCACAAGGGGGTAAAGGGGAAACTAATTCTGGTCGCCTGCAAGCTCAACAGTAATCTCTTTTACAAGCTCCCTGCTTACTCTAATTTTTATTTTGTAGGTATCAATTCGCACACTATTATATAAGGTCTGTCACCGCTTGCAAATACAGGCGTTAAATTTGCTGGAGGAAAGTCACGCAAACAGTCCGCTTGATCAAAGGCGCAGTCAACTTTGGCATTCATGAAGCTTTACCTAGAGTCACTATATGGTTTCAAATAGTACCAAAACCCCAAAGCTCATTTCAGAACCGCGTTGTGGCGCAACAGTCACATTAACAGATGTGTCAATATGTCGCTGCCCTGCGTGGTCGAAGCGAAGTGCGGACCATGTAGTGTCCGCTCTCACTCGATACTTTCACCGTACTCTTCCGGCCTGCGGTGGCAATGGTTTGTTTTTATTGACCTTCTTAGCTTCATTCGAAGCGTTTGCATGACTTGCGCACCGCTGGTTCACTTCGGGACTCATTGAAGCTGAGGCGGATGTTCTACCTTTTAAGCCTAGCGTCTCATTCGCAGCACCAGCTCTCCCTGTGCGCTCAAACGAGCCAGCAGGGTTTGGCAGGCTAGATCAGGCTACTTAAAAAATAAGGTACTAGAGAAAATCAACACACCTTACGCCTGTTCTTAACTTATCGTAAGCGTCACTCACCTGCTGGCTGTAGACCAACTCGTGTTTGCAAACAAAATGGAGCGCCCCTAGCGGACGCCATCGGCGCCGCACATGTGCGATAGAGTGTGGGCAAGAAGCTCGCCGTCGTCCATAAGCAAAGTATTGAAATACGATGTTGTCGCCGTCAGTGTCAATCCCCGTGCTTTTTCGCGTTGGAATTTCTTATCCTACGTTTTCCTGGCAATGTGCGACTACTTTAGCGGCCTCAGCGAAATTAATGAGGCTCGTTACACCACAAAATTGCCTGAATAATGTGACATGCGGCGACTGATTCCACGTGGACACCACAGAATGGATGCTGAAGCCTGATTCGCACGATGACGTCGCTCGGGCTGCAATATGGTGAACCGTAGCTGAGATGGTCGACGTCGTGAATCAGGCATAACAAGTCGGTGATGGCAGGCACGTAGCCAGGCCATGGGGCCCAGGCCCCCTTGAAATCTTTCTTTTTGCTGGGGCCTCCTCTCCCCCCTCATACAGCATTTTCTCATGGGCGGGCCCCCCCGAAACAAAATCCTGGCTACGTGCCTGGGTGATGGCCATGGGTGACAATGATCAACATCTCCTTGTATCTACTGTTTACACCGAGTCTACTTACACGAACCAACCTTCAAACTTAAAGGTCTTTTGACTTAGTTACTTCTGATCGGAATTACCGGGTCAACGTTCCGTCTACGGGACGCTGTTTGAACAAGCATACGAGAACAGGCAGAAACGTTTGAAAGAGCAGACGGCAGTTCGAACGATCAGGCGGCTGTTTGAATGTGATGAAGCATTGAACGTAGTCCGCAGGTGGTCCGTACAACTCTGGTTTTCCCTCCTTCATGTTGGAACAAAACAAATAAATCTGACGACCCCAAGTATCCGCTAAATCAACCCAAAGTGCTTCCCGCACAAGTAATTGTGGTCCGATGGCGTCTGGTTTTCCTCTTTCACGGCACCTATCCACATTCTCGGACGAACCGAGCAGGCAGAAAACTCATAAAAAGTGACCTTAACTTTCCCCGACTCCTCTGGTACAGCCCCAGCCACAGTGTATTGACGAAAAGGCGGGTTTTTGTATTGTTTCTTCCAAAAGAGCGTAGGAATGCATGTCCCACATGGTGATTTCTGCTCACAGCTACAGACCGGAAGTGCGCCCAATGCGCCACCACCGAGCCGTGACGTAACAGAGTTGAATTTGTGTATAAGGCTCCTCCTGTACATATTGCAGAAGTGATTTGATCTGGTGTCGGGAGGGTCTATTATCACGAAGGGCCCTGCACCCGTGGTTGGCCACTCTGCTTCCAAAGTGGGTGGTAATGCCTCTCATATGTTAATTTTGGTTTACACTTGAGACCCACAATTCCCTTTCCATACTGTTATTTTCGTTTATGAACTTTCAATAAGCCTCTATCTGGATTTGTGACACCCGCAATTTATAATTGAGGGCTTCCAGCACCTTAATTCAGCTATTGCAGTGTTATAAGTTTAAATTGTGCTTGCAAGCCTTCGAGGTGTTCATTTTCTGTTGTGCTAAATGTGGCATCCTGAACAGTTCCAGAATCTGAGGACGAGGAAGAGGAAGAAGACGACAGGCCAACCACTGCCCGAGACACGGCCACTGGCACCGCCGTCAGGAATGAGCTTGTGAACAGCGTTTTCAAGTGAAACTTCAGGAAAACGAGAGTCTTCAGTGCATTAAAGAAACAGTTTATTGTTATTGTACCTAAGTCAGGTTTCATTAATACCTGGGGACAATTTTGCCATTTTCAAACCGAACATTCAGTTTGTATGCCTTCAGTGCCACCATCTGCTCCTGCAGGACCACAATCCTGTCGAGGCGTTCCACAATAGCCTCCTGGGTCTCGATTATCTCGTGGCTAGGGGCGTCCCTGCTACCTGCACATCAGAGAAAAATAATTTCTTTGTGATTGAAAACCTAAAATCCTTGCACCACTTTCACGCTACTGTTGTGATACTTGTATGGAAAATTAATGTCCAGGTGTAGCTGTAGGAAGCATGCATGAATGAGCAAAACAAGTAGTTAATGAGATAATTGGGGGATCAGTGGCCGAGTGTTAGTGCATTGCAGCTCAGAGGCTGTAGATTGCATGGCAGATTGCCTTGGCATGGAATTTACAGTGGATCTCTCTTCTCGCACATGTTTTTTTGCTGCACATTCTATCTAGTATCATTTTTGTATTCAGAGTTAAATTTGTATTGCTGCATGCTGCAATCCAAATCTAGCAGGACTATACTCACGTTTGTGGTTAGACCTGCGGCTACCTGAAGTGCACGGCAGGGCCTCGCTCTCCTGGAGCCCACCTCCGCTTGCACCGTGGACATCTGAATAGAAATAACAATAGAGCTGAGTACTAGGAAAATCTGCTGTTGAAGTATGTGGTCGGCTGTCGAGCAAGCATGATTATTCAACAAAATCTGAAGTCGCGCACCTGCATCACCCTGCGGGCGTTCCGGAATATTATCAGCCTGGCTGGAAGGCGAAAAAGATTTAGTTCTTATTAGGTAATGAAACAAGTATATTCACTATGTGCAATGTTATGATTGATAAGGCAGCAAACCTTGTATGTCGTGGCCTCACTGAACTAGGCCTGCTTGGTTCTGCAGTAGTATCTTGAACACAGATTAAGAAACATGTTGTACTGACCCAGAAAACTGAATCTTCGGTAAAAATATAGTACACTTCTGTCTACTGAGAAACCCTCAGACAAGGGAAGCGAAAAAAACAGAACAAACACAACATTAGATGATGGTACATCGTTGTGCTTGTCCTGTTTCTTCAACTTACTTGCATTGAGGTTTCTCAGTGTAACCGTTCACCAGCTTGCCTGTGCCTGAACTCTTACTACCGTTATGCCCTGTTTATCCAAATAATTTAGTCCCTCGTCGAGACCATTTGGATATAGAGCTATTTGATTAGTCAAGCTAGACTGAAATTTTTAGGCCGTGCTCCCAAACCAGGGGTTTGGTTTACAGGATGCCAAGGTGCAACATGACTAGTTAAATTAACCAGACCAGTATCTATTATGAACTCACCGAATGAAAGAACTAGGTCTACTGATCTGGGCCTAGCAGCGTCCGATGTTATGGGAGTGCCTGGAAAATTGAAATTTTAATTAGGAAACATACTACTTATGAAACATTTTTTTTTGTTGTTGTTTTAGTGTGGTAATGTGGGTTTTAATAAAAAGGTGACATAATTTATATTGGAAAGATAAAGTAAAACCCTCTCTGACTAAGCTAGGGTCCAGGAATGGAATTAGTATAATGAAAGAGCATAATAATTATGAGATACCCATTAATGAAGGAATGCTAGTGCCTTGCCGAGCCTCCTGTTAACCTACCGGAAAGCGGCAGGCTGAAGGGCTCGCCATTAGGTACCTCTACAGGAACACCAATGTCGAACGCGCCTGGGATGCCAATCATGGCCTCCACATTCAGAAGTCCCACGACCCTTTCCTCCATGTCGTTCAGGGGCTTGTCTCCTACGCCGCCTCCAGTCGCACACTGACTGCGCTTGAGGGCTGCACCTGTGGTTAGTACCAAATAACATTGCACGGATCTCGTCAGAAAAACGAGATATACATCGCGCGACTGATCAGCTGCTCCTGGATTTTCTTCGCGTAACAGACTGCCACTGTACTGTTGGTGAGTTCGAATGTTGGTTAAAACCAGTGACATCTAACTGCGCATTATCTCGTGCACGACACTGGTGTGAGCGAAATTCAAACGATTGCACATTTCATTACACGCTTGGGCTGAAGTCCTATGATGCTGACAGAAGACAATAACCTTCTGCGGCATTCGGGAACATAGCACTCGTCGCCCTTCGGCAACTTCACATCTTCAAGACTGCCGCCAAAAGTAATAAAAACTAACTTGAAGGAGTAAAATGTGCTCGCTCGTAGGCTCACCATTCGCGCCAAACGTTTCGCGTTACGACGCATATCGCAACAACTTGGTTCGCGAACTGTAAAAATGGGTTATCTTACCTCGCTTCTTCTGGGAACTCTTGTAGTCAGCCCATTTTTTCTTTACATCGGCGATCTCTCTTTTCACCCCAGACACAGCAAACAAGTCATTCGTAATCCTCTGCCAAGCCCGCTGCTTGGCGGCCGATCCATGGGGCCCGTCTCCTTTCGCGTCGATCGCGATTCTATGCGCTTCATACCCATCAACCAAGGTCGATAATTCGACCTCTGAAAAGTTCTTCATCCGAGCCTTCTTGTCGGCGGGCGGTGTCGACATTTCCCGGTGTCTATCGGTTCGACCGGCGAGAACGAATGCACGTGGCAGACAAACGCATGTGTGCGGACAAAGCGTCCCCTGCGGTTGACATGGCAACGCTTCCCTCTCGCAGCTCACGTTGGTCGCGAGACACCGGAAGTTTCTCTCTTTCCCTCACTTTTTTTGTCGTAGGATTTTCGTTCGTAAGTAGCCCTTCGAGAATACCGATTTCGGCATGTCGTAGGAACTTCTTGGGATACGAACTTCTTAGAAAAATTGTCTTAAAGGGACACTGACACCCCCCAAAATTTTTTTTTAATTTTTTGCCAGGCGCTTCATTATGGTGTCGGAGGACTACCCAATTAATATTTTGCAACAGAGTAGCGTATTTTTTTAATAAAGCCAAAAGACGCAAGTGCTCGAAACCGAAACCGAAACCCGACGGAGGTCGGAGAGGTGGAGAGAAGGGAGTGAGTGGCGGAAGTCACGTGGCTACACGCGACCGTGTGTTTTTTTTTTTTTTTTTTCTCCTTCCCGTAGCAGACGAGATGTGGCGTACCGGAACTGTTCACCGAGCGATTCTTTTGCAGTTATGTATGTTCCGCTCGTTGTTCTGTACTCCAAGATGAGTTGTTTTGTACATTGAGGAGTTGGAGATGAGTAGTGAGTGCCCATGGTGAATTTTGATCGGCTCCGAAAAGAATACACCCAAGATGTTGCGTGAAGAGCTGGCTCACATGCCCTGCGTCCGAAACAGAAGTGGCATTGTGCGACAGAGTTTCCGAAAGATCAAAGGGATCGGGACCAATGGCTGGCTGCAATTCCTGTAGACCATTTACGGGCACCTCGGAAAGCGGACGCTACCTGATTTATATGCTCCTTGCATTTTGTGGAAAGTGATTACATTGAGTTCGCAGGTGTCAAAAAGGAAATCCCGTACCATTTAATTCAGCGACGTGTCGTCCACAACATTTGTTTCTTCAGTGATAATTGTTTAAAAAGAAAAAGAAATGTAGACATCAAAAAATATTAAAAAAAAAAAAGAAAAAGGTTTCACGGGGGATCGAACACGGTCCTACCGCATGTGAAGCGGACGTCTTTCCCACTGAGCTACTGGGGCATACCGAAACTGGGGAATCTCTTTCCTTAGTAATAATTCAGCCGATAAACTAAGTTGGAAAGTTTGCTGCCGATTTTCCTCTAGCAAAAGCACTCCCGGGTCGAAGTCGGGATGCACCGCGCATTGGCGACATTCTCACGTAGTAAAGAAATCGTACGCGTGCATACTCAACTCGAAGTAGACACGTCGTGCTTGACGTTTGCGCGAGCGATGTCTTCAGCCACGAGAAGGGAGCGACGGCTCGGCGACGTCTTCGTGCAAATCGGCTTGGTGATCGGGCGTGTCGTACGGGATGAATACCAATTCTTTTGATCAGTCCCAAATTTCTCTTTTAAAGGCAGACAAAATTCGCCGGTACCGCGAACGACAGTTCTGAAATAGAGGTCCCACGCCCGTCGTCCGCTGCCATCGCCGTCCATGCGAGTCCCACGATACGCGAAACGACGCACGCACAGATTGCTTCCGGTTGTCTGTGGAACTTTTTTTTCAATCAACGTATTTGCAACTTTTTAGAAGCCACAAAAAATGGGTTTCATATTTTTTTCTATTTTTAATATTGAGTGTGTGCCTTCAGTGACCTACGACTTTGATTAAATTTGGTGGTCGCATCGATACCTTAGAAAACGGCCCGTGACCGCGGAAAAGAGAGTGAGCGAGACTCGAACCGGCCAGTTCTTGATCGGCGGTTTTCGGGCGGAAAGAAACCGAATTTCGAGCCGCAAATTCTGTTCTGGGTAGTTGAGCTCTCATATGTCACGTACAACTAAAAACCTCGGCGAGCATAAATACCCTGTCAGTGTCCCTTTAAGATAAGACGTTCTTCGTGAATCTGGCCTCAGTACTCGTTCGGGCGACGCTAGTTTTCACGTGTGGGTTGCTGTTCGTGTCCCTTGACGACGAAAAGAGGAAGTCCGCGGAGGAACCGGATCCCGGAACGGTGGGATCGCTGCCGCTTTCCCTTCGGCATCTCCCCCGCGTCCGTCCTTCGGCATGCGGGCCGCTCGTTGCCAGCTGGGCGGTCTCCGTCGGGTGATGGCAGAGGCCGCCACACACGTACTCCCGTTCCGTTGGTGTTCGGTCACTGAACGAACGCTCGAACTCGCTCGCAAGAGCGGCATTCGTCCATGTTGACAGAGTCGGCGCAACGACCGCGCCACCGCGCTGCTATAACCCACCGCGGTAACTAGAGTCTCGATCTCCTAAATACTACCGATACCGACTATTCACACTTGACGTCACTCCCTACGTCACCTCCGTTTTCGGAGGCCCAGAAACGAGACTGGAGATGGTTCAGTTTCGGTTTCTTTACTTCTTTCGTAGGCACATAAATACGCGTCATAAATGTCTACAAAAAATTGGGCGGCATGCTATGTTCCTAAGAAGCATTAAAACACCATTTAAAAAAAAAAATCGTCTTCATTGTCCCTTTAATACACCAACTCATGTTTACAAACAAACCGGAGCGCCCCTAGCGGACGCCACCGGCGCCGCGCATGCGCGGTGGACGGTGGGCAAGAAGCCCGCCGTCGCCCGTAAACAAACCATTGAATTGCGTTGTTTTCGGCGTCGGAGGGAGTCCCCGTGCTCTTTTTTCGAGTTGGAATTGTTGATTCTACGTCCTCCTAACAGTGTCTGACTACTTGAGCGGCTTCAGCAAAATTAACGAAGCAAAGCTTTGCGCGAATAATGTGACTTGCGGCGATTCATTTCACGTGGACGCCGCAGAATGGGCGCTAAAGCCTGACTCGCACGATGAGATTCTGCTCGCTATTTTCAGTCGCGACGTCACTTGGGCTGCAAAAGCGTAGACCGTAGCTGAGATGGTGGACGTCGATACTGAAAACCGCAAGTAGAAGCGGGCATTATAAATCGGTGATGGCCACCGGTAACAATGATCAACATCTTCTTGTATCTACTGTTTACACTTCTTACCCCAACCAACCTTCAAGAGTGTTTTAAGGCCTGCACTTAGTTTTTATCGCAATTACCGGGTCAACGTTTGGTTGACGGGCCGCTGTTGTTTGAACGAGCTGACGACAAAAAGCAGACAAGTTTGAAAGAGCAGACGACAGTTCGAACGCTTGCGCAATTGAGTGCGGGCAAGAAGCACCGCGTCCCACGTCAACAAACTATTGGAATGTCACGTTGTCGCCGTCTGTGTGTGTCTGCATACTGTTTTTCGCGTTAGAATTGTGGATTCTACGTCCTCATCGCAATGTCTTACCACTTCAATCGCCTAAGCGAAATTATCAAGGCTAGTTACGCCGCTAAACTTTCTGTAAATAATTTGACGTGCGGCGATTCATTCGCATGTACGCCGCAGAATGGACGCCAAAACCATGATGATATTCTTCTAGCTATTTTCGGTAGCGACGTCGCTCGAGTTGCAAAAGTGTAGAAGGTAGCGGCGATGATCGACGTCGATACTGAAAATCGGAGGCGGGTCATGCGGTCATGCGGCCGTGTGAATTTGAAGACGCACTGAATTCGCGGGTGGCCGGACAACTTGGCGGTTTTCTCTGGTTCATGTTGGAAAAAAGCAAATACATCTGCCGACCACAAAGTGTTGCTCGCGCAAGCAAACGTAGTTCGACAGCGTCTGGTTTACCCTTTTCACGGCTACTATCCGCGTACTCGGGCGAACGGAGCGGGAAGAAACACATGAAAACTTATCTTCAAACCTTTCCAGAGTCTTTTGGTACAGTCACCGTCACAGCGATTTGACGACAACGCAGGTTTTTTGTCTGGAAAATCCGAAAAGAACACAAGAATGCCTCTCTCGCAAGGCGACTTCTGCCCACCGCCCCAGACCGGAAGTGCGACCGATGCGCCACCACCGCGGCGGGGCACAGTGCAATGTAAAAATTAGGGGTGTCGCGAACCGGCCGCGGTTCGAGTTCGACCATGTTCGACTTTTTCGAACTTTTAGTGGAAATTTCGACGAACCTTCTATTGAGGTTCGACTCGTGTGCGCATGCGCGACAGGCTGGCCAGTTGGCTTCGGATTGGATGGTAATGGCTAAGAGATGATTGAAGTGCAGCGCTGATTGGTTATTTTAGTTAATACAGCACAAAACAATTAAGTTAATAACTTCATCAGTGATTAGAATTGGTTTCTTTAATTGCAACTGTTCATAAATTTAAAAATAACCCTTCGCATAAAAAAATTTCTCCAAACTTAGACATGCTTTTATAAAGGTCTGGCCACACTGTCCACAAAGTCGAACCGGTCGAATTTGGTTAAAAGGTCGAAGGTTCGTCGAACCGGTTCGACCCAGTCGAACCCCGAAAGTTCGACCAAAAAATCTGGTTCGACAAAAGTTCGCGACACCCCTAGTAAAAATACTAACAATAAGCGAA